CCTAAATATGCAAATTCTTCATAGAAAGCATGGACAAATTGACAGACAAGCCACAAAACAAAACAGATGGTGTTTGTGGCAGATATTGGTGAATTTGGCCAAATCTTTCTCATTGTCCCCACTTTGGGCCCACAATAGGGCTGGCACTTCTGTCCCCAGTGGCTGGGCCTGGTGGGCCGGGTCTTGGCTAAGAAGGGATGCAAGTCCCCGAGGGCCTAATATGGAGAGTTCTCACTAACATCGTTGTATATCCCACACTTTAAGTGAAACAATACATAATGAAACCAGTTTTACAACACACTAATTGATGTAAATGGGAGTTAAGTTCCTATGGCATCTCATCAATGTCATAATGAAGTGACGTTACTCAAGGATCTGCTGTACATCCAGCTGTGACAGTGCAGCCCCCCAGTACTCTCTCCTCTCCAGCACGGCAACTGGCCCCATGACAGGGTGACGCCACCCGGTCAGCTCAGGTTCCCCAGGGATACCGTGAGCTGTTGACCAAGATGTGGGCAGAATGTGGAAAAAATCATCCTTTGTTATTTTAAGCCATGGAGATTTTAGGACTGCTTGTTACTTCAACATAACTCTCCTGAGTGATACAGGAAAGAAAGAGAAAAAAGAGAGACTCCCTTATCATAGATGCTGATAACAAGCTATGGACTGAGGAGTAGAATGAACTCAGTTCCTTATGCCAGCTTTACCAAAAAACAGTAAGAAAACCATACACACATAACTGATGCCTGCAACCGCCAAACCAGCCTAGAATGATTCATCTCAAGGTTGAGGCAGGCTTCCCACTGACATGGAAGAGTTTTAGGTCCTAAAGGTGAACTCAGCTCTGTCCTAGCCTCTTGCCTTGGGAGCAGAAAAGGCCTTGTGTTGTTAGCGGAACTGTGTCCTCCAAAAAGGTATGTTCAGTCCTAACACCTGATACCTGTGAATGTGACCTTGCTTGGAAATAGGTTCTTGCAGATATAGTTAGTTAAGTTAAAATGAGGTCATACATTACGGTGAGCCTTAATCCAATGACTGGTAACCTTATAAGAAAAGAAATCGAAGACATAGACACACATACAGGGAGAAGACAAAGGCAGAAACCGGAGTTAGGCTGTCACAGCCAAGAAATGCCAAGGATTGCCAGGAATCACCAGGAGCTGGAAGAGGCAGGAAAGACCCTCCCCTGGAGCCTTCAGAGGAAATGCTGCCCTGCCCACACCTCGATCTCAGACTTGCGGCCTCCAGACGGTGAGAGGGCACATTTGTTGTTTTTAGGCTCCTAGTCTGTGGTCCTGTTACAGCAGCAGTAGGAAACTCAGATGCCTTGTACCCCAGTCTCCCTTTTAGAACATCTGCTGAGAGTCAGTCGTCTCCATCACGGGGAACACGGACAGCCATCGACTGCCAAGCACACACTTCTCTTGGAAAGCCCCTCCCCCAGCCCAGCCGTCCCAGTCAATAATCCCGGATCACTGTACTAGTGTAACTGCTGCCACGTGAGATTTAGAGAAAGCCACCTTGCAATGAGTGCAGGGTCACTCTGGGGACATTCAGGAGGCCGATTTTCAAACACGGTGTCCTTTTTTCTTTATTTTTTCTTTTTGAAAGAGAAGTTGGCTAATTTTATAGCAAGTAATGATATAATTCTACTTATTTCAGCAAGAATAGCTGAAACAAAGTGTCAGTCAGCATGTTTAATAGAGATTCATTGACTCCGGGGAGAGGGAAGGATTAGCCTAGAGGATGGGGACGGAATGAGAGCCACTCTACCCTCAGGCTCTGCAGGGTCCAGAACTGCCTCCCCAGCTGCCTTCCCCTCACCTTCTCTGTGTGGCTTTTCAGAGGCTGCTTCAGGACCCACACAACCTGTAAACTATACCCTTCAGAGCACCCGCATCACACACGGCTAAACATAAACACCTGCCACTCCCTCACTCAGAAAGACCAGACACGTCACTCTGCCAGCAACTCTCCAGTTGACACACCTGATCCACCCCTGCCAAGACCATCCCAAGATTCCCTGTAGTCTCAAAATCTCCATAATTATCTTTCCCTAAGATCCCCTGGTCCCTCGAAATGCCACCTTTCTCTGGTTGCAGCTAGTGATAAAACTGACTTTGTTGGCTGTAAATGGGGTCCAGGTAGTCTTTGAGAGATGGGCCCCAACACCCAGCTCAAGCAACCAGTGGCCTCCACCACGGTCTCTGGATCCACTGGTGTGTTGCAGTCAACTGTGAAGTGTGTACTAGGTAGCTGGTGACTGGGACTAGTTAGGAGTCCCACATCTGCAAATGAGAAAGGAGGAGTGCTTGCTCAGGGGGAAGTGTGCAAAGCCTTGGAGGGCACCTTGTATAGGCAGGTGAATGTCACATAGAGAGAAGCATCTATGCATCTGGCTGTGTGTAGGGGATCCACCGGCTGCTTACTCATGTTCTCTTCCTCTCTCAATTCTCTCTTATCTCCTCTCCTTTGTTTCTGCCCTTGTCTGGGGAATTCTTGAATTACTTGACCAGAAAGGCACAACATTCCCCTCTGTGTTGTTTCCTGGTTTGGCCACTGCCACTGCAAACCTCGAATGTTCAAAAAAATCTTTTTCATCCTTTCACCTAGAAGTTCACCATTTTTCATATGGTTGGGGGACAATAGCAGTATATTTTTAATGTTTAATACTTGAATGATTTAATGACTATTGAGTGAGGGCTTTTTACGTGCCCAGTCCTTGCAGGGACATGGCCTTGAACAAGACACAACGCCCCTGTGCTGCTTCCAGACCATCAGGGAGGAAAATTTTAAACAATGGTGTGAGAGTTGCTGAGCCCAGAAAAGGGAGGGAGAGGGTTCCTTGCCCAATGTTCACTACAGCTGCCCCAACAACAAAGGACATGTGGGTGAGCCTCAGAGAAAGAGAAGGGCCAGCATGAGGCTGGACTGCAGGCCGCTGCCATCCCGAACGCCCATCTCCCAATCCGGTGACGGGCCTGCAGCGTTGTGGACGACAGCCCCTGCTAACCCGTGGGTGGGCCCAGGAGGCCGTTTCGTGGTCCTGCATGCAGCCCCACACCACAGCCCCCTGTGGCAACGGTGTTCTCGCTGAGATTTCACCGGGCACCAGCAGTGTGTTCCTGGCCGACTATCTCCCAGGTCTCCCCCTTCTTCGCAGGTTCCTCTTCCCTGCCTTGCCTTTTGGCCTCCCAGATGGAAGATCCCGTACATCCCATTTAAAAAAGTCAAGGTCGTTTTTCTCTCCTGCCTTTCCCTGGTACAAATCTAGTGGTAGGGTGCGTCCCAAAGAACACACAACCTGCAAAGCTGCTGGCAGAGGGGAGCGGGAGCAGCAGGGCCTGGGGAGGCGGGCCTCTGCTCACATCGCCTCCCCTGCGCGTGAGAACACAGAACCCTTCACGGCAGCACAAGGACAGGCATTCAGCCCCTGAGACAATCAGGAATTCACTGGGACCAGGTTTTCCTTCTTCGTGGACTGAAATGGCTGTTTTATGTGCATTTGGCTGAAATAAGGGGCACTTCTGTTGATTCCGGGTTTACCTAACTGAGTTCAGCTACAGGAGGAAGTTTAAGTTGGCTTGCAGTCCTCGGGCACATGGAAAGCTGAAAAGAGCTGGTTTGTCAGCAGACATGGGGCTGAATCACAAATTTGTTCAGGAAATCCAAGATTAAAGCCCAGTTTATATTATTATGTAACAGATATACCTGCCAAGCAACATATCCAGGCAAATAAATTTGAAGTATTTTTTAGTAGAGCTGGAATACAAAACTCATATTTACTTAAGACTCATGTGAATGATAAATAAGGCCACTTCTGTGGAAGCCCTTAAAAAAGTAGTTTAAAAATTTGGAGCTGAGTGATCATCCCAAACACTCTGGAATGAGGAGCATCTTGCCAGCAGGATGAGTCCCTGGACAGCCTGGCAAGAAAGAAGGCCTGAGAGAAAAGGACTTGAAGGTGGCACGCGTCAGTCTTCCTACCAGTTATGAATAACTGTTACTGAAGTGCAGATATTGAAAAGTGGACCAGGTTTCCACTTTTGGAAAAAAGGATCTCTGAAAATCCACTTCACAAAAGTCATGGGAGAACTCTGGCAAAAACAATCTAAAGCCATTCCCGCCCCCCCCACCCCCCCAGAATTCTGGAAATTAAGTTCAAAGAGATGAATTCAAAGAGAATTTACTGAGGAAAAACAGCTGAGCCTTGGTAAATGGCTGGTGGTGAAGACCTGCCTGGATCTCACTCTGCCCTCCCCAGCCCAGTTACAGTAAGAACTAACATTTCGGGAGTCATCAGATAAGTGCAATGGATTTGGAGCTCCTCAAGAGCCACCAAAACCATCACTTTTGATCTACATGACAGCTCACTGACAAGGTATATTCTCAAGGCGTCATCTGACCAGACTCAGGAACAATGAAAAAAACTCAGGGCTCCTTTGAGAAATGGCTAATTTGAGGACTGAGGTGGGAACATACAAAATGAGCCCGGAGCACCTCTGCCAAGTTCATTCAGGTTGTTGGCAGAATTCAGTGACCTGTGGCTGTAAGACTGAAGTTCCCATGGCGCTCTCACAACACGGCAACCTCTTCAAGGCTGGCAGGAAGACCTCCTGATGCTTCTCACCTTTGACTTCGAGAAGGGCCCAGTGTCTTTTAAGTGTTCAACTGACCAGTTGAGACCCACCCAGGAATCTCAATTTCAATGAACTCAAAACGAAGTGAATTGAGACCTTAATTATATCAAAGGTAAACTTGCTTAGTCTGTTATGTATCATAAATTAATCCTACCGTGAAATCCATCACTCACAGTAATGCCCACTCAAAGGGAGTGGTTCAAGTATACCAGGGCACAAACTCTTGGAGCCATCTTAGAATTCAGCCTACCACAAAGTGGGCGGGGCATGGGGAAGAAACAGAAACCACTTTTTCATAACAAAACTTTTTCTTTTCATAATTTATTAATCCAAAATAAACCTCATAACAAATTTCATCACAATAAACTTTTGACTATATACATATATAACTTGTTTAAAATTACATTCAAGTCTAATGTGTCACTAACTTAATAAGACCATTTTTGTGTACCAAATGTAAACTGCCAATTAAAATGTGATATTCTATCAACTGTAAAAGACAATCCAATCTTAGAGATGTTAGCTATAACAATATGTACCCCAGAATTAATGACAAGTTTTTTTCCACATTTTTAAATAATGTAAAGGAGTATAAATTTCACAGGAATCAACCAACACCACTTTGAGGTGAGTTGGGTAGCTTATCCCTTCCTACTAAAAACACGTATATTCTCTTCTTTCCTCTTAACCCTCCAAATACGTCTATTCCTAGATGTTGTGTTTCCTCTTTTCTTATACCGGTTTCTTACTGTGTGCTGTCAACAGGAGTCAAGACAGTGAACAAAGCCTTCAGTGAAGAGGGGTAAGGGGCAGAAACGTGGATTTGGGGAGATGAATGTAGGTTTGATTCTTGGCTCACATTTATTATCTCGCCTTTGGCTGCAGGTAAGAGAACCCAAGTCAAAGGGGCTTAAACAGTTAAAAAAAAAATACACACACCCATACATCAAATTTCATGTGGTGTAACATGCACTCTGTAGGCTGGCTGTCTTCTAAGGTTGGTGAATTCCATGGCCCAGCTAACAAGGAGCCAGCTCCTTAACTTTCTTCTGTCATCTTCAGCTGGTTTGCTAGCTCCCCTTGAAGTCATTAGACAGCTGCATCCGTTCTGGGTGTCATATTCAGACACGGCAATGTCTAGCCTCTTCCTGTGTCTTAAGAGATGATCACTTTTCCAGAAGTGTACCAGAGGACATGTATTCCTATTTCAAGCCTAGACCAGCTGCTGGCAAAGAGAGTGGCACTTCCAATATTTGTTGTGACCAGCGGTTTTCAACCTTGCCGGTGCTTCAGAATCACCTGGAAGCTACTGAAAACCTCATGTCCACACCCCAGCACAACCCCCCAGCACCACCGCACAGCCAGAATTTCTGGGAGTGGGCCCCAGGCATCAGTGTCTCTTACAAGTCTTCCTAGGTGACTCCAATGTGAAGCCAAGATCAAGGACCACAATTTTAGACCCTTGTTTAAACACCACAAAGGGTTGAGGCCAGGGCCCACCATCCACAAAGCACAGACAATGCCATAGAAGAGGGGACGTTTCAGCACAACCGAAGTTGTTGGGAAGGGGGGCACAGGTGTGTGCTGCTACACGCCTAAGAACATGAGCTAGGAGACCTTCTTATAGATATGGTTTCCTCACTGGTAAATAGTAACAACTGATTTTACTATCAAAATGCCAGTGATAGAACTGTGATCGGTATTAAGAAGGATGTCACGTACATATCCTAGCAATTGTCCCGGAAGTGCTTACCCTGAGAGACTCTGATTTCACTAACCCCCTAATGGGGTGCTGGTGCTTCTAACTGGCAGTACAAGCCCCTAATATTATTTAGGCTGGATGACCAATCACAGTATTTTGATCTGTACAAGTGACCTGGGAAGAAATCTTTAACTGTAACCCCCCCTCCCCTGGCCCCCAATGGGTATGCTTATCAGAAACTAGCCGGTGAATGGAGACAGCTGTGCAGGAAGTCAGGATATCTACGAAGACAGGGGACAAACTACTTAACATCTCTGGGTCTGAATTCCTTAAGTACTACACCTGGATCAAGTTGAAACACCAAAAAGATTATCTTATAAACTGACAGAATTTGAGTTTTACTGTTATGTGCCTTTTAGTAACTGATCACAAAAAGTTACTGTCACACAGAATCTTAGAGATGAGAGTTTTGTCTATTATATTCAGTGATTTCAATAATGCAGACCTACATAAGAACTGTTTTTGTGAAATTATTATTAGGAGAGGTTTTGCATTCTACCTTTCTGATAATAAGTGGTAAATAGATTACCTCTTCATCCTTTCTGTTTTGGCTCCAAAAAAGATCAGACATAATTTTAATATAGCCATGACAGCCATGTTGGTCACGTAAGTGTAAATCCATTATAGCTTTCTTACTGATATTTCCTCTGCTCCAGATGCTTTAATTAATGTGGCTGTATTACAAGTACACTTGCCTGGAGCTGCAGGGGTCAGTGGGATTTAGTTCACAGGAGGAAACCAAGTGAAGCAGAGAGGAGCCAAGGGCAGCAGGAACTAGATCTCGGCAGGCTGAGATGGTGAGACTGCAGAGAACTTAAAACCCAGCAGACAAGTGGGTTCTGATTCGGGGTACTACACAGTAGAGGCACAGCTGAAGCAGTACACTGGGAAATCTGCTCTAAGGAAAGGGAAGTGGACCAGAGGGGAGAAAATGGAAAATGGAGGCAGGTCAGCTGGAAGGTGCTGTAACAATCCAGTTATGAGAGACTGCTTTACGTGCACAGGGCATATTTAAGAGAGTGTCTCTCTTCTAACTTGATTGAACACAATTTAAGAGATTTCACTGACAGGTTTGCCTCTTCATTTCCTCTCTTGCTTTAGTGGATTAGGTTGCAACCAAGTAACTTTGACTCTTATTTTCAAGTAGGACTTTGCTAAGAAGTGTCACTAACTTTGGTGTCCTCTATTCAGCAATTTAGTGATGCTATTATTTTTCCCAGCAGTAAAACAATGGTGATAGTTTCTGTTTCACAGTATTTTTCTAATAATAATCAATACCACTCTATGTAAGTGCCCGTTTAGAATCTCATTATCCGTGCTTGGGCAATTCTGTATTTCAGTATTATGTTACAGATGTCATCACACTACTGAAGTTTACATTTTACATAAGTGTATAATCTGACTACAGTTTCTGAACCAATGAGAAAGATAACCACTCCAGTATCTTAACAAAAAAGTTAAGAACTCAAAGTTTTGGAATGGTACAGTAAGAGACTTTGTTCCACTTTTATTTTTCATAGTAAGAAAATGGAAACAACTTAAATGTCCAATGACAGGAAACTGGTTTAAAAAAAAGTCACAGAACCATTAATTTAAGTCATAAAATAGAATCGTGAGCAGCCATTAAAAACATTGTACAAGTATTTAATGACATGAAAAATTCTAACTATATATCCATCTTCTATCAATTACCCCATGCCTTCCAAGAGAAACCCAAGTTTTCTCTCTTCAGTCTTGCATCTCTTCATTATCACTCGGCCTAACCGTGCTTCCTATTTTATTGAGAAAACTAGATGAATCAAAACAGACCTCTGTAATTTCCTACTGTGACATTTACCCAGCAGCCAGCAGCTATGCCACCCATCTCCTCTCCCGTTCCAACGGCTGAACTCCAACAGCGGGGTGAAGAGAACCCTTTCACTTATACACTGGATTCTGTCCCTCCGAGGGCGCCATCCATTAAAGAAACTGCATGTCATCCTAATGATACAAGAAGGTGCTTTAAATGAGGAATCCAGTACATCACTCCAAATCATTGGTCTTGAACAGTCCTGAACATACGTATAAGCACTCTTCATCCATACAAAGCTACATAAGAAAAAAGAAAACAAAAACACTTCAGCTGGTGAAAATTAACCAACATAGCCACCCTATTTCTTCCCCCTGAAAAACATATAGCAGAAGAAAACTGTAACACAAAAATCCAAACTGAATTAAATATCCCTGTTGGGAATCTGAAAAATCAACTTGAATTGAAATTCAAAAGCTAAGGGTATAACAGAAAAAGAAATTAGAAGTAATGAAACAAGAGTTGACTGACCTCGGAAATAATACAAGAAAAAAATCATATAAAAAATGAGAACTGTATTACAAGAAAGATTTGAATGGAAACTTAATAAGGGCTATTAGACTAAAGTGGAAAAGAAGAATAAAAATGAGTTGAAGAAAGTAGTATTTATGAAAGAAAGAAAAAACATTATGGAGAGGGAAAACATGCATATACAATATACACATTAACTATAATATGACAGAAGCTAAAAGCAAACGTTCAGTCATTAAACAGATGTGAATGGATTAATTCCTTATCAAAAGAAAAGAATTTTTGGTTTGGCTCACAAGCAGAACCCAACTATATGCTCCATATAAGATATAAATCTAAAACTTAATAAGAAAAGCTAAGAATAATGTGATGGGCAAAGGAGTATTAAAAGCAAGTGCAGGGGTCAAATATATGGTGATAGAAGGAGATTTGGCTTTGGGTGGTGAGCGCACAATGCAGTATACGGATGAGGTATTTTAGAATCGTACACCTGAAACCTATATAATTTATTAACCAATGTCACAAGTAAGTACTACAAAAAAATTTTAAATAAAGTTTTCTGTAAAAGAAGACAAAAGTAACTGCAAACAATTTCCAGTTGCAATGCAGAATCTGAAACCACATCTGGAAACTTCCTTCACTGTTATGTGAAAATCCATTAGTCCATACAGCACGTTGCGTGGATGTTTTACCCATGCATAATTTTGTAATGTCATATGTTGTTTATTTGGAAAATGTTAGCTTAATAATTTGTGCAGATACTTCAAATGTTCTATTATAATCATTAATATTATATGTTCTATTCAAATGTTCTATTATAATATTATAGTATTTAAAAAATCACACTCTTTAACATCACCAACTGCACGAAAAAAATCTTTATGTACAGGAAAGCTTCCAAGCTCACATAGGCAGATAAAATGTTCCTAAATTGTCCTTATGCTCAAAAGCCAGAATTTTATAATTGAAAACAAATATTTTCACTTGTTTTCCTTAAAGTGACAGTCACTCCATTCATTTGTGGAAAAGTGCCTGCCAAACCTGCACACCTGAAGAAACCAGCTGGCCCCACAGTTGTTCTTTTAAATAAAGAGTATTCATTAAAAAAAAAAAAAGCAGCTAATTCTGCTTGATCTCAGATGATAGCACAAGTGCTTGTCCTTAGAATACCACTTAGTAGAAATACTTGATACATCTTCCTATTTTGCTAGACATAATACTGAAAGATGGGCACTCAAGAATTGAGGTTTAATAGCATGAATACTTTTTACTGCTTCATCAAGGGTATTCTTAAATGAAATTGGTGCTTGATGCAAATGTTTTCAGAGAGAATGCTCTTCAACTTTTAGAAACTAGAGTCCCATTGGACTCTTCCAGTGGAAATGCCTCTACTGTTTGCCCATTAAGTATAATATTGACTTTCTCACTGAATATAACATATTATATATTATATTTAAAAAATCCATCCAATGGTCTCATATGCAGAAAACTTAAAAATATTCCAAAAAGAACTGTTAAAATAAACAAATTCAGCAAAGTAAAAGGATATACAGTCAACAAACAAAAATCTGTTACATTTCTATACACTAACAATACACAGTCTGAAAAGGAAATTAATTGATTAGTAAATAAATTGATTAGTAATTACTTGATTAGTAAATTCCATTTACTATATTGCAAAAGAATTCAAATACTTAGGAATTAACTTAGCCAAGAGAAGACTACAATGAAAACTACAAAACAATGCTGAAGGAATTTAAAGACATAAAAAAATGGAAAGACAGCCCTTGTTCATGAATTAGAAGCCTTAATATTGTTAAGATGTCAATACTACACGAAATGACCTACAGACTCAATGTAATCCCTATCAAAATCCAGAAAGAGAGAAATCCATCTTAAAATTCTTATGAAATCTCAAGTGGCCCCAATTAGCCAGAACAAAGCTGAAAACGAACAAAGACCAATGGAACAGAATACGGAGCCCAGAAATAAACACTCACATACTTGGTCAAATGACTTTCAACAAGGAGTCAAGATGATTTAATGGGGAAAGGACATCTTTTCAACAAATGGTGCTGGGAAAACTGGATATCCACATGCAAAGGAGTGACGTTGGACCCTCACCTTACAGCATATACAAAATTAACACAAAATGATCAAAGATCTAAACTTAAGAGCTAGAGTTATATAACTCTTATAAGAAAACATAGGCTAAGTGGGGGTCAAGAGGTGGAGGGATTGACCAAAAAGGAAAAAGGACTCACAGACATGGACAACAGTGTGGTGACTGTAGAAGGGAAAGGGGTAATGGGGAAAAAAATGATAGTTAAAAAAAAACCTTTCAGAAACACACACACACACACACACACAAGCACATGCACACAGGATAAAAGTTTCACAACATTGGATTTGGCAATGATTTCTTGAATATGACACCAAAGGTATAGAAAGTGAAAATAAACAAACTGGGTTTCATAAAAATTTTAAAATCTTCTGCACGAAAGGATGCAATCACCAGAGTAAAAAGGCAACCTACAGAATCTGAGAAAATACTTGCAAATCACATATATCCACAGGTGATTAATATCCAGAATATATAGATAACTCCTAAAACTTAACAACAAAAAAAACCCGAATTCAAAAATGGGAAAAGGACTTCAATAGACATACCTCCAAAGAAGATATGCAGATGGCTAATAAGCACATGAGAAGATGTTCAACATCACTAATCATTAAGGAAATACAAATCAAAACTATGAGATACCACCTCTCTCACATACTCACACACACACAAAGTGTTGGTGAGGCTGTAGAGAAACTTTAACACTGCACTGTTGGTGGGAATATAAGTTGGTATAGCTGCTGGGGAAAAGAGTATGGTGATTCCTTGAAAAATTAAAAGCAGAGGGGAGATGCAAGATGGCTCAGGAGTAAGCGGAAGCTACACTAACCTACCAGGACCAATCTGGAATTGCAACTAAATTGTAGAGAAATCATCCTGAACAATCAAGTGAACACTAGCTGGAGAGCAGCCTTATAACCAAGGACAGATAAAGGAAACCATTTCACCATGAGACTGGTAGGGAGTGCGAAGGAGATGTGAGAGGGCTGGCTGGGCCCCCACGGGTGGCAGTTGAAGTTCCAGAGGGATATTTCAGCGGCCAGGGGCATGGTCCCCTGACAAGTGTGGGGTCTAAACTCCAAGCTGAGCTCCCCAGCCTACAGCACCAGAGCCAGAAAGGATCCCAGAAGACATCCAGCTGTGAAAAGCAGAAGGGTTTCTGTCCACCAGGGACAGATGGCTCTGGAGATGCGGCGAGCCTCCTGAAGGGCCAACACACAAAATTTTGTTTGCAGGCATTTACCCTGGGCTCTGGCAGAAGGAGGGCCAAGTGGACTAGAGACACTTGAGGAGAGTCTGGGGATGGTGGATCTGGGGAGAGAACTGAAGGACCAGCCACCAGAATCCCTGTGATGAGTCATTCCCCATATTGCAGGAGCTATCTCTCTCAGGCAGAGCACTCCTCTCCAAGTGGCATCAGCCTGAGAAGAAGCAACAGCACCATCCACAGGAATTACTCTTCTTCACTCTCTAGGGAGCTTAAGCCTGTGGTTGATTACAGCTTGATTAGTTTAACAAGTGATTGGTTTAACAACTAAGGCAGAAAATAGAAAGCTGCAGCCAAAATGGGAAGACAAAGAAAAAGACCCCAAATGAAAGAGGAGAATTCTCCGTAAGAACTGGATGAAATGGAGGCAAACAATTTATCAGAGAGTTTAGAGTAATGCTTATATGCATACTCAACAGCATGAAAAAAGACACAGAAACCATAAAATGACCAGTCAGATATAAAGAATGCAATATCTGAAATAAGTAGTACACTGAGGGAATAAACAGTAGGTTAGATGAAGCAGAGGATCAAATCAGTGATTTGGAAGACATGGTAGAAAAAAACACCCAGGCAGAGCAGCAAAAAGAAAAAAGGATTTTTAAAAAATGAGGCAAGCTTAAGAAATATTGTGGACAACATGAAGCGTAACATTTGCCTCACTGGAACATCAGAAAGAGAAGCTATTTGAAGAAATAATAACCAAAAACTTCCCTAATGTGGTGAAGGAAAAAGACACGCAAGTCCAAGAAGCTCAGAGAATCCCAAACAAGCTGGACCCAAAGAGGCCTATACCGAAACACATCATAATTAAAATGACAAAGAGAGAATCCTAAAATAATCCTAAAATCCACAAGAGAAAATCTACGAGGGAAGACCAATTAGATTATCATCTGATTAGTCTACCAAAACATTTCAGGCCAGAAGCGAGTGGCGTGAAATATTGAAGGTGATAAAAAGCAAGGATCTACAAACAAAGCTACTTTACCCAGCAAGGCTCTCATTTAAAATTGAAGAAGAAATAAGGAGCTTTCCAAACAAGGAAAAACTAAAGGAGTTTGTTAACACCAAACCAATACTGCAACAAATGTTAAAGGGCTTACTTGAAGAAGAAGAAAAAGAGAAAGAAAAAAGAAACAGAGGAAAACAGTTTAATAAAATTGCACTACATCCATGTCTATTAATAATCACCTTAAATGTAAATGGCTTAAATACTCCAACCAAAAGACACGGGGTAGCTGAATAAATAAGAAAACAAGACCCACATATATGCTGCTTCCAAGTGACACATCTCAGATCAAAAGATATACACAGATTAAAAGTAAAGGGATGGAAAGAGGTATTTCATGCACATGGAAAAGAAAAAAAAAAAACCTGAGATAGCAGTACTTATATCTGACAAATTAGACTTTAAAACCAAGGCTATAGTAAGAGAAAAGGACACTACATACTGATAAAGGTAACAATCCAACAAGAGGATATAACCCTAGTAAACATTTACACACCCAACGTGGAAGCACTGAAATATAAAGCAAATACTGATGAACATAAAGACGGACTGACAGAAAAAGTCATATTTGGGGGTTTTAACACCTCACTGACTTAAATGGATAGATCTTCCAGACAGAAAATCAACAAGCAGACAGTGGCTGGCCTTAAATGACATACTAGATCAAACAGATTTAACTGATATCTTCAGAGCATTTCATCCCAAAGAAGCAGAACATACATACTTTTCAAGTGCATGTAGAATTTTTTTCAGGATAGACCACATATTGGGACACATAACACATCTCAATAAATTTAAGAAGACTGAAATCATATCAAACACCTCTGACCACAGTGCTATGAAACTAGAAATCAATCACAAGGGCACTGAAAAACACACAAAGACATGGAAGCTAAATAGCCTGTTATTAAATAATGAATGGTCAATAATGAGGTCAAGGAAGAAATCAAAAGATACCTTGAAACAAGTGAAAATGAGGATACAGCAATCCAAAATTTGTGGGATACAGGGAAAGCAATCCTAAGAGGGAAACTCAGACCATTACAGGCCTATCTCAAAAAACAAGAACAAGCTCAAGTAAACAATCTAACTTTACACCTAAAGGAACTTGAAAAAGAACAACAAAGCCAAAGTGAATAGAAGGAAGTAATAAAGATCAGAGCAGAAAAAAATGAAATAGTCTTAAATATGATACAAAAGATCAATGAATCCAAGAGCTGGTTCTTTGAAAACATAAACAAGATTGACAAACCTTTAATGACACTCATTAAGAAAAAAAGAGGAAAGACCCAAGTAAGTAAAATCAGAAATGAAAGAGGAGAAATAACAACTGACACCAAAGAAATACAAAGTACTGTTAACAAAATAGCATGAACAACCATATGCCAACAAACTGGACAACCTGGATGAAGTGGATAAATTCCTAGAAACATAGACGTAATCTTCCAAAGCTAAATCAGTACGAATCAGGGAATCTGAACAGACAGATTACAGCTAGTGAAACTGAAGCAGTAATCAAAAAATTACCAACAAACAAAAGCCTGGACTGGACGGCTTCACAGGTGAGTTTTACCAAACATATCCCGAGAAGAACTAACACCTCTCCTTCTCAAACTATTTCATAAAATTCAAGAGGAGAGAAGGCTCCTAAACTCATTTTACAAGGCCAGCATTATCCTAATTCCAAAACCAGATGAAGACACTACAAAGAAAGAAAATTAAAAGCCAGTATCACTGATGAACATAGATGCTAAAATGCTCAAAATGATATTAGCAAACTGAATACAGCAGTGCATCACAAAGATCATACACCATGATCAAGTGGGATTTATTCTGTGAATGCAAGGTTGGTACAACATTTGCAAATCAGTAAATGTGATTCACCACATAAACAAAATGAAAGATAAAACTACATGATCACATCAATACATGCATAAAAAGCATTTGATAAAAATCCATCACCAATTTGTGTTAAAAACCCTCAGCAAACTGGAAATAGAGGGAAAGACTCTATTTAGAATCTTTCTAAATATTTATATCTATATATTAAATGTTTAATATATAGATAATATAAGTAAATATTAATATCTATATTAAATATTTAGTTTGGTGTAAATGGGATTACATCAAACTAAAAAGTTTTTGCTTAGCAAAGGAAATCATCAACAACATAAAGACAACCCACAGAATGGGAGAACATATTTGCTAGTACATTTCCTAAGGGGTTAATATCCAAAATTTATAAGTACTTATAAAACTCAATACCAAAGAACCCTCAAAAACCCAATTAAAAAATGGCGAAAAGACCTGAATAGATATTTCTCCAAAGAAGACATACGGATGACTAATAGACATATGAAAAGATGCTCAATATCACTAGTCATCAGAAAAATGCAAATTAAAACTACAATTAGATACCATCTCATACCTGTCAGAATGGCTATCAACAAACAGCAAGTGCTGGTGAGGATATGGAGGAAAGGGGAACCCTTTTGCACTGTTGGTGGGAACGCAGACTAGTACAACTGCTGTGGAAAGTAGTAAGAAGATGCCTCAAAAAATTAAAAATGGATCTGCCTTTTGACCCAGCGATCCCACTTCTGGGAATATATCCAAAGGAACCCAAAACACTAATTCAAAGGAACATAAGCACCCCTATGTTCACTGCAGCATTATTTACAATCACCGAGATAAGGAGCAGCCCAAGTGTCCATCAGTAGATGAGTGGATAAAACAACTATGGGACACTTATACAGTGGAGTACTATGCAGCCATAAATAAGAAAATTGTACCTGTTGTGACAGTATAGATGGACCTGGAGAACGTTACGCTAAGTGAAATAAGCCAGGCAGAGAAAGACAACACCATATGATTTCATTCATATGTGGAATCTAATGAACAAACTGCACTAACAAGGAAAATGGGGATGGGTTCATAGATGAAAAGCAGATGACAGTGGGGGAGGGGGAGTTACGGAGTAGAGGGATTGAGCAAAAAGGAAAAAGGATTAGAGTTACAATATGAGCTAGCAATTCTACCTCTGGGTATATATTTAGAATTGAAAGTAGGGTTTCAAAAAGGTATTTATATACCCATGTCTATAACAACATTATTCACAGTAGTTAAAACGTGAAAGCAATTCAAGTGATCACCAATAGGTAAATGAGTAACTAAAATGTAATGCCATTTTTTGCCACGTATAATGTGCTCCCCTGTATAATGCACATCCATGTTTTTAGTCCAAACTTTCAGGAAAAAATCTTTCGTTTTAATTTTCTAATTCAATTATTGTTTACTTATATTTAGATACTTTATTTTGGTATTATAAAGGAACTTTAGTATTTATTTTTGAACATACAGATATCATTATTACTTTCTAGAGTTTCACTTCTAATGCAAAAGCATAAATAAAATTAAAAACATTTATATACAGAATTAGAACTACCCATGTATAATGCGCATCTTTCTTTTTCTCTCAAAAATTTGGGCTAAAATTGGGCATTATACATGGCAAAATGTGGTATATACATACAATTAAATATTATTCAGCTTTACCATTAAATAAAAGAAACAATTACTTTCGATTCTTCCATTCTCCTTATAGCCACAGCCACATCCTTTTTTTATGTAATCTAGCAGTTCCCCCCACAGAGAAAGTACACGAGTGTAATTCCTACCCTTGACTTTGGCCAATGGGTTGCAAGTAACAGTGATGAGAAAAGGGCCTCCTGAGCCGCTGTGAAATGACCATGCCCAGTAGCCCACCGGTCCCAGACAAATGTGGGGCAGAACCATCCCAATCAACCTGCTATATGAAGTAGAGCCAGCCCAGCCAATCTTTCCTACAGATGCATGAAAAAGAATCTTTATTTTTACATGGTATGGAGTTTGTGGTTGTTGTTAAAAACCATTATGGCAGCAAATGTTAACTTATACAATTTACAAAGGATTAAAATATAAATGTAAGAAAGTAACACTTAGAAAAAGACTATCAAAGTAAGTAATTCTGCTCACTGAGACACCTCAAAAAAAATGAAGAGAGCCCACAAAATGGAAGAAGACCTGCCACGTATCTCACAAAGCATTCTATCAGGAATACATGAAACCGATTTACAGAGAACAATCAGCCCAATAGAAATGTAAGCAAAAGACATTAACAGGCACTTTGCCAAAGGTGAAACTTAAAAGCTAATAAGCGTAAGAAAGGATGCCAAACTTCATGAAAATAAAGCCATATGAGACACCATTTTTACACCGACTAAATTGGTTAAAAAAAAAGTTAAGTCTTAAGAAAACAAAGATTGGCAAATGGATCAACAATTCTTTTAACCAGTTGGTGGGAGTACAACTGCTTTACAGAAAATTGGTATCATCTTAAATACTAAGAGGATGCAACAATTCTACTCCTTGGTATGCACCCAGGAGAGCTCACACATGTTTTTATCAGGAGACAGGAACAATTATTTGTAGTATTTAAAAAACTGAAAAAAAACCCCCTCAATGTCCATGAATAGTAGAATAACTAAATAAACTATATTTATATTTATATAAATTTATTACTTTATTTATTTATAAAATTTATTATTTAATATATTTTATAAATATATTAAACTATATTTAATGACTGAAATGAGATGTAGGAGTAAAAATGAATGAATGACAGCTGCATGCATCTACATAAATCTTAGAAGGGTAATGTTGAGTGAAAATAGCAAGTCACCAATTAATATAGAGTATGATAATATTTAAATAAAGTCCAAACACAAACACAACTGAATATACTATTTAGCGAATCATGTGCCTTCGGTAAATTTACAGAGAAAAAGAGGAGGAAAATAAAAATATAAAAGATAGTGATAAACCCAGAGGAGGAAGACAGTCCATGGAGACCTACAATATACTGGATCTGGCACAAATAATGCCCCTATTTTATTACAAAATCATAAGCATGCAATTCTATAGCATAACAATCACACTCAAGCACGCCATATGACATTTTAGGTCAAATGTTCAAATTGAAACTATAACTATGCCCATATTATTACCCTACCAACCACACTCAAGCAGGTGTTACTTCTGCCAGACCCTATATATCTATGCCTATGTACCAAATATTTTAAAATTTTTTTAGTGGAGGAGGAAAGAGAAAAGATTTATTTTTAAGAAAAAGTAAAAAGTCTTGTTTCCATGCCAACTTCTAGAAATGTTTAAGAAAAAAAGAAATGTGCTAAATCCTAATTTTACCTTTTTAAATGTATTTTATTTTCATGACTTCTTTTCAGTATCCAAAACCTAATATAAAAAAAAAATCACGTTATTGTTTTTATGCATCATGTGTATTATCCTACTCCTGTAATTTTCTCATGATCCCCAAAATAGTCATTTTCTCATGATCCCAATAATATTCATTCTAGTAATAATCTAATATTATTGACTGAAAGAGAAACTGATAAACAAATTTTATGTCACTTTTCCATATATATTTCATACTAATAAACAACCATCCACATATTTGGTACGACTTCTAATTCCAGAGTAATCCTTCAGATTTACAACCTAAAAATATCCAGAAATAAGCATCTTTGATTTTCTAACATTTGCATATGCTTCAAAAAAAACCCCAAAAACCTGCTGTAAGATGGTATGGTTTCGGTTTAAAAGAATCTTTTATTTTCAAGTTATATTTCAAGTTAATTTTGGAGATACGTGCTCCAAATAACATATGGGAAATGACAATATAAATGACTACAATTTTTCAATTACCCTTTCTCATAGACTGAAAGAACATCTGAAGAAAACATTTTGAGGTAACTACAGTATTCTGTGATGTAACTCTAAAATGCTTATCAACCAATGATCTTTAACTTTCCTTCCAAGAGTATAACAGGGAATACCTTTCTCCTATTTGCTGTTTCCCTTTTTTAGCTGAGCTATTAGCACTTCTAATTGCACTGAAGGTTTTAAGAACATTCCAATTTCATACCAGCAATGAATGTAAATTTTCCTTTAAGCTACAAGGAAAAATGTAAAAATGAGTAATAACATTCTAAACTGAAGGAAATTCTTAAATTATCAGTCCTAATGTACACCACATGCTAAGCTATGAGGAACTTTCCTTCAAGAACAGTAGCTTTTCAAATTCTCACCCTCAGTTCAGATTCTTTAAAAAAAGACAAAAGATGACTAAAATCGTACTTACTTTAGCCAACAGTTCCTGTGTTTCAGCAGTCAGAGGAGCATGTGAAAACTTGCAGTGCTCTCCCTGGTAACATTTTGTTCCTGTATGGTAAAACTTGCAAGGATATTCATGTATCCCAAATGTTAAGGAAAAGAACAATCTTCATCCAAATAAAATAATTTGTTATTCATTTAATGACTTTATTTTTCTTACTTAAAGGCCTTTCTAACTATCAGAAATACTGAACTGTCCATTTAAAATTCCTCATTTAAGACAATAAATTATTAATTGGGTTATATGAAAAAAACCTAATTTCAGGATGATGATTTATATAAATCAAGTTTATTGGCTATCACAGGACTCTTTCTGCTTCATATCCATTCGTATAATAAACAACAGATAGGCTTCACTGATATAAGAAACAGATGTGTATAAATACCTTGAGATGTGTGATTATTTTTAAAACATTATTTTGGGGTAGAGGAAGTTAAGTCAATGACAATGATTACGTCTTACCAAATCTGGATCCTCATGTTATAATAAGAGCAATTTATACAGTGTCAACATTGTTTCCTAGGAAAAGATTCTTGAGTTAGAATTTGAGATTTTTTGTACTGGATAAATGAGAATGACCAAAGCTGCTATTAGCCTAAAATGTTCATGTTCCATGTTTTTATAGCGTGTCTGTACCATGAGCACTGCAGTGAGGGTTATTCTTCAAATTAAGTGAGAGCTAACCCTACAGCGGTGTCCCGCCCACAGTCTGCGGGCCACATGTGGCCCAGGATGGCTATGAATGTGGCCCAACACAAAATCATTAATTGACTTAGAACCTTTTTTTTTTATCAGTTTTCATTAGTGTTTGTGTATTTAATGTACGGCCTAAGATACTCTTCTTCTTCTGATGTGGCCTGGAGATACAAGAATTTGAACACCCCTGTGACTACAGAATACAGAAAACAAGCATTCCCAAATTTAGCAGTTCCTGCCTCTTCTTATGAAAGAGCTTACATGAATATAGATTCAATGAGTGAATGTCAATGCAGAAACTCTGACAAAGTCTTTCTGGGACCTGAACAGGCCTTATGAAACCTGCCATGCTTCTGAGAGAATTTCTAAGGGATCCCTCTTTTCTTACGGGGGAAAAAAATCTGTGTACAACTTAATCATTTCAATACTTACTGATTTGAGCTTAGATGATATAATTTTGCCATAGCTAAAACACCAAGTTTCACTCAAAATTATACATATTTAAAATGTTTGTGTTAAGTATTTATGAAGAGTGAAGTTATAATATCTTGTGATAAAGGATATTATGCAAATACAGACAGTTTTCACCTCTGGTACAATATCCTTGTACGTAAAACTTACACATTTCCTTTTTCTTCTCTATCTCTGCATCATGATCAAATTTACACTCGTCTCCCTGTGCCAAAAGAAAGAACAAGGAAAAGGCATTGTTTCTCCAAGTTAAGTCATTTTAATTTCTACTAAACTCTAGATAAACAAATAACTCCAGAAAAAAACCCCAAAGTCTTAGAAGCTGTACAGTCTAATTCTTAATGAGTTATCTTATGACATCACATTCATCTACTTAAAATTTTAAGTCCTAAACATTTGTAATATAAAACATTAAAAAAAATATCTTTCTTAAACATAAAATAGCAAAATTTTCCATGTGAACCTTTTCTAGAAGGAAACAGGTATGCTTTTAGAGTGTTTAATGGAAACAGGAGTTGGTTTTAGTACATTTTTGCTACACCTTAGATTTTAGTATATTTTTGTTTATAAACTTTTTATACCTTAATACATTTCCTTTCAAGGAAATATTTACAAACTTGTTTTCCCTTGCGTTCCACTGTGTGTTGGTTGATGAACCCCTGACTCATTCGCACGTGCTGCTTCTCTTTAGGTTTACCATCCTTTGAAAACAAAAGCAAAAAACTAAATGTGAGAAACAGAAAAATATTTTATTACACTGCACAAAATTATTTCAAACCACCTATAAAACATTAAGAGGTGACTCTTCTAAATTGATCCTCATGTACAGATTTGGACTTTTGTACACCAGTTGAAAAACGAATGCTCTGTCAGTTTCAACAGCATTTCATCATTGGACATTAGTATTTATACAACCTGTTTATTGTACTTTGTCCTTACTTTTTAAAAATGAATTTAAAAAATTAAAAATAGAAGTGTTACTACTTGTGATAAAAAGTGAAGTGTAAGAACAAGGCTCTTCAGAACAATGGAGACTAAGCTGGAAATCATAAGGCGAACTGAAAGCAGTGGAATGTTTCATTTCAACGAGACGCTCTCTGGGTGTGAGCTGAGTATACTAATCAGATCAAATAAATGTAACTAGCACTGTACCATCAAAGATTGTGATGAAAAAAAAAAAGGGGGATTTCATAAAACATTTTAGCTCTTTAGAAGCATAAACCACTGTTAGCATGTTAACTTGTAATATACCTTCTAGCTTCTGCACACAAAGTTTCTGAATAGTTTGAGAAATACAGTATGTACAAAGAAAGAAGCTGGCCGTACATTTATATGTCTGCTTCGCAAGAATGTCAAATTTCCACTTAGCACTATCAAATATGTCTTATAAATAAGTTAGTTTAAGTCTGCTTTTATTTGGTTATGTTATTAACTTGTACCATGTTTATAATTTGTTCTTCATGTAGAGGAGCTCTCAGCGCTGGCTGGGTAGCCTTTTAAACCAATGCAAACCAAATGGAAGGAAAGACTGACGGGGGCGCCAAGACTGAAAGTCCCGGCGCTGGCCCGGCCCTGCGTGACCACGGGCAGTCACCCGAACCTTGGGGCTTCAGATTTCTCATTTGTAAAATACGGAAGCAGAGCCAGACTTTACATAAATATGTTTCAATCATAATATTTGGTATTTCTAGTATTGTACCACTTGTCCCCTTGGCCAGACATAATAAAAATGGTTGCCACACATTTTAGAAACCCCTTAGAAAGGCAGAGTCCAGAGGAGTCACTTACTGTCCCACCCTGACTACATATACAGACCGAGGAAGAGGAACTACAAGCAAAATCAAAGTACAAGGAAGGTAGGGGATGGCTCGTAAGGTCAATGCTCAGATACATTCATTTTCCAGAGACAGTCAAGAACCAGCAGACTAGGGAGTGCAACAGCAGACTCTTTGTAAGACTGTGGCCTTTCAAATGTGCTCATGTTTACTGTATCTTCTCTCTGCTACTCCATCTGTTTTCCCATAGACACTGACAGCACAATACTAAAAAATTCAGGGGCTCATGGGCATGTATCCAGGGTATCAGGTACAAAGTGCTGGTGGCTCCTGCGTGAGAGAGAACATGGAGCCCACTGGGCTCGGAAATTTCACTGCCGATGACCCTCACTTTGTGGCCTGTCATTGAGGATAAGATAGAAATCGTCCCTGTACCTGTTCCTGTGAGCCATTGTTCCTCACTGGTGCACTGGATCCCTTGTTTGCAGTGCCAGGCCATTTCCGCTTCATTTTCTTCTGTTTACCATTCTTGTGGGCAGCTTTAAGGTTTTTCTTTTTTTGTTTAACAGCTAAAAATAGAAAGTTTATTTTTTTTAATTTTTATTTATTATTTATTTTTTTAAAGATTTTATTTATTTATTTTTAGAGAGAGGAAGGAAGGGAGATAGAGAGGGAGACAAACATCAATGTGTGGTTGCCCCTCCCACGTCCCCTAATGGGAACCTGGCCAGCAACCCAGGCACGTGCCCTGACTGGGAACCCAACCGGTGACCCTTCGGTTCATAGGCCAGCACTCAATCCACTAAGCCCCACCAGCCAGGGCAGAAAATTAACTTCAATGATGACATAAAAGTACAATAGCAATTTACTCTTTAAAAGTACGCTCTAAAATAATCCAGAAGTACTGCTCAATGAGTGAAACAGGCATGATGCTGATCTGTCTTCCTAGAAACTGGGAGATTAAGAGATCAAAGAGAGAATCAATACATTCTGGATGCCAATTCATTCTCTGTGAAAACATATACAGTATTATAAGGAAAAAAAAAAGATAATGACTGAAATCAGCCTTGCTGGCCACAAGCCAAATCCTTCTGAAGTGTTCAGAGTATTAGGGCTCTAACTAGGAACTGCTGCAGCACTATAACAATAAAACTTCATGTTTAAACTGACTACATATATTACTATCACGTTTTCCACTGAAAACATTTTATAATAGATTGAATTTATCTATGACCCATTGTAAACAGAAAAACATTTATAGGGGGGAGTTAGTAAAATGAGAGGATTAAGAATTTCATCTATACAATGATATTGTAGTAACTATGTATGGTGTCAGACGGGTACAAGACATAATTATATAACTGATTTTGCAAGTTGTATAAATGACCATCACTATGCTGTAAATCTGAAACTAAGATACTCCCATATGTTAACTATAATTGAAATTTTTTTTAATTAGAAAAAAACCCACAAATACAAGCCTTAGAAAAAGAATTTCACTTATAATTCTCATTTGTCCTCATTATCTATGGGTACATTTCATTTCAGTAATCTAAAAGAATATATGTCTGAGTTTAGCCTGACCATTATCACTCCTGACATTAAGTCGATTCATCTTCAGATGACAGCAATACAAACAGGCATATCTTGTCCTTTATACATGCAGGGGCAGTTTCGCATTCTCCCTTTCAAAGTAGTCATGGCCTTTGATAACCCTCCTGAACTCAGTTCCTCCTGCAAACTGAGAGTTGTACACTGAGGGGCCAGATCTTAGTGGGCGTCTCAGGCCACACAAGCCCACATCTGGTGTAAAGATTCATTAAAAACTATTATCTTAGAAAATGCCCAATTCATGGACAATTGTGACTGCTCCTCTATATAGACTTTATATCAGGCTCCCCGCCCCAACCACATGGAAAAATGTGTTCCATGAAACCTATGCCTGGTGCCAAAAAGGTTGGGGACAGCTGCCTAAATGATAAAATAGTTAGACCTTTACCTTTCTGTGTACACTGCGCTTCCTCTTCCTTCATGGATTCTTCAGGAAATGGTAAGGATTGAGCAGCATTTGCCATTTCTTTGGCTTTTATATACTGTTGAAGCTCTTTAGCAAAATTATCTTCTGATTCCTGATTGCAGATATCATTATCACTGTATACATCATAGTCTTTGCTTCTTGATTTTCTACGTAGTAAATTCTTCGGTGATGTTATAGAGTTTCCAAAGTGCCTAAACTAAGTAAAAATTAAAATTTCAATTTAAAAAACCTAGCATTATTCAAAATAATGTGGTTATGAAGAAGAAACAAAGACTGGCCATAAACTGATCATTGCTGAGGTTGGATGATGGGTATACGGGGTTCATATATTATTTTTTCCACTCTTACATATTTGAAATTTTCCAGAAATTAAAAAAATAAGTGCCTAGCATGACAGCCATCCTTAAAGATAATTTGAGGGAAGATTCTGAATTGGTATACTTTATGTGCTCTGCTGGATTAAGAGTAAACCCCCAAATCTTAATTACTTGGTATAAAGAAATTACAATATTATAGTTCACATTTCATTTCTCCCTTTGCAGTGACTATACTTTTAAATGGTTTAATTCAGTAACTCATGATTTCATAAAAGTAAATGGTAACGGTCCGATTAAAAACCCACTATACTAAGATATATCATAGCTACCAAAGCCCACTCTCTTTCCCACAATTCACAGCACTGTTGGCATAAGAGGTGGCAGCCACAATGACAAGGGAGGAAAAATTGCCTGGTTCTCTACTCAGGTTATCTTTACTTTCAGAAATCCTTTTCTGACTGCTGCTGGAGCTGTTCCGAGATGACAGCTGCAAGCACAGGCACCCACTGTAGCGGAAGCCCCACAGCTGGCAGCTGACCCTGGAGAGCCTGGGGTGATCACAGCAGACAACTTAAACCACTCTGAGTATAAAAATTTCCAAGTACTGGATACACAGGTGTACCCAGCTCTATACTTATAATCAATATACATAATATATTTCAATTAAAAAGTTTATTTAAAAAATCCACATGTAAAGGGCTCCTTTTTTTCTTCTTTTTTTAAGGGATCCTATTTTGATGTCAGGAAGAGATGACATGTCTATTGTTAAACTGGCCAATGATTCTGCTCCAGAGGACACTTCTAGGCCTGGTTTCTTAGTCTACTTTCTCATCACTGATGGAGGCAAAGAACTCAAGACAAACAATAAACAGAACAGAAGACTCACTATTATAATCTATATGAGGTGGTCCAATTTAAAGGTTTAGTAACTGTAGGTCTAGAAAATGAATGTGCTCCTGCTTGAAGAATCCAAACAAACTGAAAAAGTCTGCTAAACTACAAAGCAATTCGGCAGTTTTTAGGCCACCAAACTCTTCATCTCCACATCCTCAAGGAAGAGCACTTTTTCCCCAACTAATACCATACAAAAAACCTTATAAACAAAAACTCTGGTTAGGAGTTGGCAAACACTGGCCTGGCCTCCTGTTTCTGTAAATAAAGTTTTGCTGGAGCACAGTCACACTCATTCATTCATCACCTTTTATCTATGGCTGCTTAGTTGTGGCAGAGACGATATGGCTCACAAAGTCAGAAAGATGCACTATCCGATCCTTCATGAAGAAGCTGGCTGGCTCCTGTGATGACTACTGTGTTTACCTTGCTTTTATGCTCACTAGTTTTATTTAGTGGGCAGAGAAAGAACCAAAAAAATCATTCCATATGCCAAAGCTCCTACCAAGTTCAGCTTCGTCAAATACACTGAGATAAGATTCATTCAGAGTATATGAACCCAAATATTACAACAATCCAAACGAGTGACTAAGTGTCTTTCCTTACGTAAAACATGCAGGTCTAAAGTACTGAAGCAGACCTCTTTAATTTCAAGTAATAACATGCCTGATTTATTTGCATTAAAGAAAGAGAGTAAATGACTTAGTAACATAATAAAACTAGGACAATCATCAGCTATGTTGCTTTACCACACATTAGAGATGAGTATTTCCAGTTGATATGATTCTTTTCAGAAGGCATCGAAATACACAAAATACAAACGCAGCTTAAATACTTTTCTTCACACAACTAGCTATAAACTCACTGCTTTGATGTTTGCTGTTTTCTATATAATTTAGAAAGCATACAAACATGATATAACTTTTTCTCCCTTTTGTAAAGAAAACTAAATAAAGTAGTTTTAAGTAAAAGCTTATCTTGCTTTTGATTTGGGATAGTTTATTCAACTAGTCTTGCTTCCTGACATTCCACAGAAATAAAGTACAGAAATGTAAAAATTCATAGTTCCATGGTAGGGTGGGGGTAAGGGTAGGTGGAGAGGCCATCAATAATTGAGAGGAATTCAGCAAGTAATTGAGAGGAATTCAGCAAGTTCTTGGCAGATTTTTGATAAACAAAAACAAGTTCTAAGATGGAGGCTGGGCTTCTGTTGAGTGCGAGAAATGAGGCTACAACGGAGGACAAATTAAAATTCTACATTAAAACAGACAAAGCTATTCTAACAAGTTCTCTCTGCACAGCCCTCGCCAGAACACAATCAAAGAGAAGTTTACCCTTAGAGAGAGCGGGGAGCGGGGTGTTTACCTTGGGCAAAATGAGAAGACCGTTCTCCAAAGAAATGGAATAAAATGCCAGATAAAAGCCAAGTCCCGTATGTGATTAGTAAGACGTCAGAGCAAGTTCTCCACGTTCTGGCTTTTGGAAGCACCTCAGTGCACTATAAATTTCAGTGACAGAACTTGATAGCATTTTGCCAAGCCATGACATTTTTTTCATTACCAGTGCACAACCACCATGTCAAAACATGAAAAGTAAACTTCAAATGCCATGTATTGGGTTGGCCAAAAAGTCCATTTAATTTTTCCTGTAAAATAAAAGACAGATTTCTCATTTTCATCAATAACTTTATTGATTTGGATATTTTTAGTATGTTGACTATCTCCCACTATTCGCTCGTAATGGGTAGAGGCCAGGGCTGCTTCTAAACATCTTCCAGTACATAAAACAAAGTCCCACAGCAAAAAATTATTTGGCCAAAATGTCAATAGTACCAAGAAACTTTGCAAACCACTTTTGACGTGATCGATCAGTCACAGTACCTTCCCCACACACTACATAAGTCTTTCTTTGCATTTCAGTTGTGTTTTTACCTTTCTTAAAATAATAAAGCATAATATGCTGAAAATATTGCATAATTTCTTCCATATTCAACATTAAAATGGCTGCACAAAAATTCACCATTTTTGATGAGTTTTTTAAAAAATGCACACCGATATGACAGCTGTTACAATATAATCTAACAAAACTGTTTCAAATGAAGTTCAAGACAACTAAGCACTACTAAGAGCCATTGTATGGAAAAAGACTAAAACTTTTTGGCCAACCTAATATTTAAGGCACAATGAAGTGTGGATTACTTTATTGTCCAATTAGATGGCAAAACATTATGGTGATTATGTAATGATTCTTTAATGGTTAAAGAACATAATATATTTCAACAGTGCCATATTAAGCATTCATCACAATGGTCCCAACTCAATGATTAGAAAAATTCAAAAAAGTAAAACAAACTATCACAGAATTATTTCTTCACAAAAATAAAAAATGAAAATGAGGATGATATCAAAGCAAGTTTCTGAATGGGTTGTTTGCTGGCCACCAAAGAAGGCTGAGAGGGAGTTAATGAAATCTTGTTTGATTGCAGCAATTGAAAAAGTGGCCATAGACAATAAAGTTACTTAAGACAATTGGCCTTTTGGCAAGAATAGCTGCTCAAAGACATGAGGAAATTGGGAGAAACTTTGACAATTAAAAAAATAATACAAATATTATCAAGTGGCTTTCCTTGGCTCTTGAAGAGTTGACAGATGTTATTGATACTGCTCAGTATTACTGTGCTGTCCAAAGATAAAACAAGAAGCAAGATGCCCATTCCCACACAAATTTGTAGCAGGTATGGTTTCTGGGCTCAAACCACAGTTCTTGTAGTGACTTTAATACAAATGCAAAGAAAAATGTCATTTCAAAATCCATTTACCTCTGCCACTGAGAAACTATCACCTAATCTTTAAATGGAAATGATTAATCTGCAATGTAATGACATGCTACAAGACAAACTTAAAGCAAAGAGTCTAATAAAGTTCTACAAATGCCTTCCAAGCAATAAATATGCCCAATGAAAATCATGCTGTGGACTGGCAGTACCTGTCAGTAGTAAAAGACATCTTCAAAGATGGAAATGTATAGAATCTAATTACAGATCAGTACTAACAGAAGAATCTTTGCCATCAATTTTGATAGGAGCACTAACTCCAATTAAACAACTTACTATCCCAAAAAGAAGAATCCCATTCTTTCATTAGTAAACCTGTATTACAAAACCTTTTTTCCCTTGCTGTTTTGTCCTCTACAGAAAATGTTTACTGACTTCTATCTAGAGAATAAAACAAAAAGGTAGGAAAAGGAGAAAACTGATCCAGAAGCAGCAAATATGATTCAAGGGAAAAAAAAAGAAGTTAATAATTAAAAATACACAAAAATATTCAAGATGATATTACATTCCAAAAAACAATGCTAGAATGCAGCAACAAAATAGAGAACAAGAAATAACTCTTGAAAAGTTAAATCATGATTCACTAAATAAAGATAAACAAAAATAGGGGAAATTTTTTAGAATATAAAAGATGCCCTGACCAGTGTGGCTCAGTTAGTTGGGCACCAACCCACAAAGTGAAAGGTCACTGGATTGATTCCCAGTCAGGACACACGCCTGGGCTGCAGGTTTGGTCCCCTTCAGGGTTGCGAATGTGAGGCAACCAATCAATGTTTTTCTCTCACATCAATGTTTCTCTCCCTCCCTTCTCTCTCTAAAAAAAAAAAGCAAATATTTTTTTAAAAATATAAAGGACAAAGAGAACAAAAATAAAAAAGAAGATATGCCTCTTATTTGAAGGGTGTGAATGGAGTATGAGTGAACAGTCTCACCAAACACTAAGCACACTAAATGAAAAAAGATTCACAATCTTTAGGAACACCAAAAAATAGAGAAGAACCTAAAAGCTTCCAGAGAAAACCAGATACTTACCACGGAACTAGAATCAGACTGGCAACACTTCACATTAGCAACACTGGTGGACAGAAGAAAATGAAGCAATTTAACCTCAAACTTGATACTATTTCAGCCAAACTACCTATCAATTATGAGGATAAATTCAAGATATTTCCAGAAAGGTTAATAAGAACTGAAAAGTTTAACCTCATAAATTACTATATATGCCAGCCAAATGAGAAACCAACATAAAAAGGATGTAATTAACAACAACCTCACCAAACACCTAGCAACAGATCTAATAACAAAAAGAGTATAAGATGTAAGACATCTACCAAGAGAATGATATAACACTGCTGAGAGAAATTAAAGAGGACCTAGAGAAAACTCATTGTTCTGAAGATGTCAACAGATTCACGTCAAATGATCTATATATTCAATGCATTCTCAATAAAATTCCCACTAGGGTTTTCTGTGGAATTTGACAAACTGCCTCTAAAACTTATATGAAAATACAAAGGGCTAAGAACGGCCAAGACATAAGGAAGAAAAACAAGGTGTGAGGACTTGTTTACCTGATACACAAACTCATTATAAAAAGCTGGAGTAATTAACACAGGTCTTGAGGGACAGAACAGACAAATGAACCAGTGGAGGAGGATAGTCCAGCAACAGACCCATTGGAACATGAACACTTGGCTTTTGACAACGGTGACACTGCAGACCTGTGAAGGCAAAAACAGTCCTTTCTTCCCAATGAATGGAACCAGAATGACTGGGTACAATAACAGAAAAGAAAAGTAAAACAAAATGTGTTGTTCCCACTGCCTCATAGTGTCTACAAATATCAATATTGGGTGACTATAAACTTAAATGTGAAAGGCAAAACAATAAAGACACTATTGGAAAATATTTTTATCTTAGGATATTTGAATAAAACAGAAAGCAGTAACTATAGAGGAAAAGTTTAACAAGTTTGAATATATTAAAGTTATAAACTTTTCATCACAAAAAGCCATTGAGTGGAAAGCAAGCCACAAAATGAGAAGATATTTGCAACACATAATCCACAAGAAAGGGAAAACCCCCTTTATATCCAGAATAAAGAACTATAAATGAAGGTAAAAACAAAAACAAACCAATTTAAATAAAGGACAGCCCTGGCCAGGTTGCTCAGTTGGTTGGAGCATTGTCCTGTGCATGAAAAGGCTGTGGATTTGATTCTGGTCAGGGCACATGCCTGCGTTGCGGGTTCGATCCCCAGTCAGGGCACATACCTAGGTTGTGGATTTGATCCCCGGTTGGGGCAGGAATGGAAGGCAACCAATCAATGTTTCTCTCTCTCTCCCTGTCCCCTTCTCTGTCTCTCTCCATCAATAAACATATTCTTGGGTGAGGATTTAAAAACAAAAAAAGGACAAAAAGACTTAACAGGCACAAAAAAAGGGGGGAATCCAAATGTACAAATGTACGTAAAGATGCTCCATCACAACAGTAATCAAGAAAATACAAACTTGTTTACAATGAGATACCTCACGAGATGGCAAAAAACTAGAAATATAGCAATATCAAGTATGGAACACCAGAAATACAGTCCTTCATACTGCTGCCTCTGGAGGAAAAAGAAAAATCAGAACCCCTTTAGAATACAGGTTGCCATTACGGTAAAGATAAAGATGCTTAAAAACTCAGCAGTTCCACTCCTACATAAATGCAGAGTTGTCCCCACTTAACCATTCCTAGACCTGCACTGGATGCCTAAAACTGCTGGTGGTATCAAACTCTATATATGCTATATTTTTTCCTAATATGCAAACCTATGATACAGTTTAATTTATAAATTAGGCACAGTAAAATATGAACAATAAGAAAATAGAACAATTGTAACAACATATTTGTTATAATAAAAGTTATGTGAATGTGGTCTCTCTCTCAAAATATCTTATTGTACTGTACTCACACCTTTTCACAGAAAGGAAGCACCTTCCAGCTTCTCTTTAAAATATCCAAATTGCCAGCATCACTACTCTTGCACTTTGGGGCCATTTTTAAGTAAAATAAGGGTCACTTGAACACAAGCACTGTGATACCATGGCAATCAATCTGATAACCAAAATGCCTACCAAGGGATCAACGGGCTGGAAGTGTCTACAGCGTGATGGGCTGGACCAAAAGGGACGCATCACGTCCTAGGTGCGATGGAGTGGGATCGCATGAGATTTCATCATGCTACTTAGAACAGTGTTCAATTTAAAACTTACAAATTGTTCTTTTTTGGAATGTTCCATTTAATATTTTTAGACCATGGCTGACCGTGAGTAACTGAAACCAAGGAAAGCAAAACTGTAAGGGGAACCACCATACCTGTGCAGCAGGGTACCAGCAGCAGCACTGCCACAGCTCTGAAAATGGGACTCCGATCCAAAGTCTACCAGCAATAGAATCTAGTATGGTCAAATAATGGAATACTATGCAGCTAAGAAAAGGAACAAACATGTATATACCGTAGTACCTATAAATCTTACAAATATAATGTTGAGAAAAAGAACATACAGGGCACTACTTTTTCTATTAAATGCAAAAACGGGAAAGAAAAAACCTGTATTCTTATGGGTGACAGCTTTCGTAAAACTGTAAAGAAGAACAAGGAAATGATTAATAGACAAGTTAGGACTGTACTTATCTCTAGAAAGAAACAAGGGGTATGGCTGAGAAGAGAGGCACCAGAGGCTTGATGGTAATGATCTTCCTTGACTTCCAACGTGCTGACCTGGGTGCTCTCTTTTTAACTAACTGAGATACGTTCACCTTCTACATACTTGTGAGTAAAGAGCCTAGGCTAAAGCACACCTCCTTAGGAGTAATTTAGGTGTTCATCTTCTCATAGTGCTGTTTCTTAGGAACTACTGAAGGTAATCCTGGAATGCTGCACCTGCCCATCTCCTATACGGGGTTATAGTACACATGGATTAGAGGACTTTAAATGGGCAGGGAGGATTGGGACCCAAATTAATAAAACAGTAGAAAAAAGTGGGAAATTCAAGCTGCATTTTTTCCCTGTCAATCTTGGCTCTCGTCCACAGCAGCATACATGCCCCAAAGGGCAAAAGAAGTGATATACTTGGGTAGCTGAGAGGCTTCCTGAGCAGCTAAAGATGCTACACCTGCTATATTTTCTGTCTTAAAACCTTTTACAAAGCTAAGTACAAGAGTACCAAAGTAAAGCCTATTTGTGTCTGTGAGTCTTATTGTCAATTAAAACCAATTCTTTTGTAATGTGTCAAAATTCATAATTTAAAAAAAAAGTTCAAAAGAAAAAAAAGGCAAGAAAGGAATAGATATTGGCTTTGTTATGGGTTGAGTGTGTGCCCCCATAGTCTTATATTGAAGTCCCAACCCCGAGTACCTTAAAATGTGACTTTGTTTGAAAATTGGGCCATTGTATATATAATTACAATAAGGTATTAGGGTGTGCTCTAATCCTCTATGACCAGTGTCCCTATGAAAAGGGGAAATTGAGACACAGACACACGCACAGGGAGAACACCATTCAAACATGTAGATAAAGGTCCTGGCGCTACGTCTGGGAGCCAAGGAAAAGAACACTAAAGATGGCAGCAAATCACCAGAGGGTAGGGGAAAGGCCTGGGACAGATTCCCTTTCACAGCCCTAAAAAGGAGCCCACCCTGCCAACACCTTGAGCTCAGACTTCTGGACTCTAGAACCATAAAACAATAAATTTCTACTTTTTAAGTTCCTCGTTTGTAGTACTTTGTTATGGCAGTCCTAGCAAACTAATACAAATTTTAAGCTTCAAATCACTCAAAGTTAGCAACAAATATCCTTAATATTTTGATCTGATTTGAAAGAAGTTTCAGAAACACTTCACAACCCATTTCAGAAATAAGGAAAACAAAAATAAAACCAGTGCACTGAAAACAGTTCATGTTAAAAGACAAAGTCCTTAAATGATAATTTTTATAAAAAAGTGCAATCAGGTTTGATATAAGTAACTGGGTCTCAAATGTCAACTAAAATGGGACAAACAGGATCCCTAAAAATGTCTCATATCCATTCCTATCTGTTTTTTCAATATGCCAACTTATCTTACTTTTTTGGGAATATGCGCACACTCCAGTTTTACTTCCCATTTTATTTTCTTGTCTTGTGTTTCTTCAACTTCTGTATCATCTATTTCATCATCGATTCTGTAGCAAAAATATCAAATAACACAAGAGGAGTTTTTTCAACCTGCAAAGAGTTCACATCACAGCATCAAAATCCATATCTTTGGCTTATCTTCCACTTGCCCTCAAAGAAATTCCAAATGCAAATTCTACTCCAAATACTCCAGAGAAATAATGAACAAAATTATAAACAGCAGTAAATGGCAACATTTTTATGAGTAAAATATGAGTAAAAAGTAAAGCTGCAATTTTAGATCTCATTATATAGCCTCAATGTTCAAGTATTAGGAGCTTTTAAATTTATCCATTCACTTATCATTCCATTCATTCAAAAAATACTGAGTATTTACCATACACCAGGACCTGGACCTTAAATCCTAGGATACAACAATCAACAAAACAGACCTTGTCCCTGCCTTCTGTGAACTTTCTATCTGCTAGGGAGAAAGGAGGAAAGCAATTTCAATATGGTATGGTAAGTACAGGTGTATATAGATGAAGAACACAACCTAGGTTTGGGGGCCAGAGGCTTTCTGAACCTAAAAGACATGCAAGATTTAGCAAACAAAAAGGAGTGCAAGGGAGACCAGTATTTCAGGTAGAATTCTGGGTGCCTTCCCGGGTCAGGAGAGCCCCAAACTTATATTCTAAGTGGGAAGAGGAAAAAGAGAAGTTGTTTTCACACTCACAAGGACTGAGAAGTTGAACCTGTATACACGTCGTCTGAAACAATTACTTGATAACCCAAGAAAACTAGAAGTGAACCCAAGAAAGATAAAGATGGGAAATACAAAAAAGTAATGAACAAAGAAGCCAATATAATTTATAGTAAACCTAAATAACGGTTGATACTATAGATACAGGGGCACTGAACACAATTTTGTCTCAGAAAGCAGTGGCTATTGAAGAAAGCTTAAGACATGCATTACATGCCAGAAAAAGGCGAAGACCAGACAATGTGTACATACTCAAAACAACATCTTATAAGAATGTGAAGAGTGGCTTTGTGCTTCTTTCCAAGTTATAGGAGGAGCTTGGGTATCACAGTTCCATCCAATCCAACAGTTTACCACTGATCTGTCTCCATTCAGAGTTTCAGAGTTACACCCATCAGATAAGATACCAAGTTTTCAGCCTCCCACAGAAGCTACCATTGTTCTACCAAGAGCCAATAAACCAAATACTGTGGACTTTCATTGTTCTGGTTTTAGGTAATGAATCATAGGTAGCAAGAAGTAATCTATCCTTGGGCAGAATAATAATGACAATAGCAGATTAACACTTGCATTATGATTACTCTGTGCTAGGCACTGTCTCATACATATTTCGCATATCATGACAACCCTATGGCATACACACTACTGTTTAAAAGCCTGTTTTACAGATGAGAACACTGAATTATGGAAAGCCTATGTAACTCATCACAGACCTAATAAACGGTGGAGCTGAGATTGAAACCCAGCTCCCAGGGTAAACCCAGGCGGGCAGAGCCAAATTGCAATTCACCATATCCAATTCAAATCTACCAGACATAATTTTAATATATGCAAATCTGAACATTGATCTAATTCTCCTGCTATCTTAAGCTCCAACTCCAACCTTCTAACAAGACTGACCAAAAACTCTGAAGTTGACCTTGACTTCTCTCATATCCGTCATTCAATACATGAGGACACCCAGTTTATCTTTAAAATATTTCCATATTTGACTACTTCTTGACACTAATACTATGATGCAAGCTACTCTTGCCCCTCTACATTCTACTCTCAACACATGCGGATGATCTGCCTAAACTGTCCCTCTCTGCTGAAAACCCTCCAATGGCCTCTCATCTCATTCACGGAAGGAGCCAAAGCCCTTACAATGGCACCTGTAAGTCCCTACACGATCAGTTTCCCTAACCTACCCTGTACCACTCTACTCTTACTCCACTCGTCATTCTGGCCATTTTGCTCCCACCACCTAATCACACCGAGTTCACTGCACCTGAGGACCTGTAAATGGAACACTGTCCTGCTAAACGTCAATCTCCCTCGCGTCCTTTCAGTCCCTACTCAAATATTACTTATCAATGTTGTAAGTCAGGCTCTCCTTGACTACCTTCTTTAAAATATCTACATTCTCCCCACTATCCCATCCTCTCCTCTTATCCAACTACCTTTCTTTCATTTTCTCTATGGCACTGATTGCCTAAAATCCCATACAGTTAAATCCTCACTTAACATCATTCATAGGTTCTTAGAACTGTGGTGAAGCCTATAATGAAACTAATTTTACCATAGGCCAACTGATACACGCCTAAGTTAGGTTCCCATGGCATCTCATCAACGTTAGAACTAAAAGATATTGAACAAAATTATATTACTTGAGCACCTATTATATATTTATATATTGTCTGTGCCCCAAGAATATAAATCTCACGAGTACAAGATTCTTTAATCTCTTTTGTTCATTGCTATAGCCCCAGGGCCTAAAATAATGTCTTGTACATAGCAGGTCTTCAATGAATGAATAGTTCCATAATAAAATAACTAGGAAAAAAATACCCATTTAAAACAAAAACCTTTATGCATTGAAAATAATGCCATAGGCAAAGCCAAAAAATAAATAATAAATTGAGGGTAAATATCTACAGACCAGGGATCCTAAAAGTTTAAAGAGAAAGATATGCAAAGGATATGAACAACAGTTCACAGGTGCTCAACAAAACCATAATACAGTACTACTCTTCATCTGACATTTTGGCAAATATCCAAAAGTGTCATTAAAGTATGACATAAAAATGGTTCAGTAAAATTTTCAAACCGATGAGTGTTATTGGTTTTTTATATGTTGTTACTGTCTTTTTTTGTGATGATTCACCTTGCTGAATTCTCTGATGTATTTTAATAGTTTATTGATTCCTTTTCTTTTTCTTTGTAGATGATTCTATCATCTGCAAGTAATTAGTGTCTTTGTCTCTTTTTAATATTTATAGGTCTTATTTTAGCCACTGTGCCCTACAAATATTGAGATGAAATCACGGGTTCTAGAGAAAGACTAAGTAACTTAATCCCACTTTTGCTACTTACATTGTGTAATCTTGGCAAGTTTGTGCCTCAACTTTCTCATCTACAAAAATGAAAATACTTTCTCTTAAAGGTTGAGAAGGTTAAATGACATTTTGCGTAAAGTACCATAGTAAACCTGTAAGTTGGAGACTAAATTAAAGAAATAGTTTCAATTAAGGTATGTGAGACAGAGAGAAGTGAAAAGATTTGAGTGATACGAAGGTAAAGTCAACCAGATTAAGAGATTTATCACAGATGAGAGAAATAAAGGAATAAGGGCAGTGTGTTATGGTTTTTGCCTAAGGAAACTGTGGCAAAGATGCAGATTTAGAAGAAAAGGTGGGTTTTAGCATTTCAAAGTCACAGAGAAAAGAGTGAAAGAATATCTGAGTGTAAACAAACTACACTATCCAAGAATGAGATCAATAAATTAGCGCCATTTAGCCAGCGGCCTCTGTTCATATTTAGTAATTATATCTAAATGGTGTTTGCTGACTTATGACGGTTTTTAGGGTCTTTGGATGCTGATCAGTGGACTAGAAGCATACTACTCACTCTTTATTCTTCACTGCTTGGTGAACTGACGGTTTGGCATTTTCTACAAAAAAAAAGTGCCTAGCACGTGTCGGTGAGAAATGACAGATGATCTCTGTGTCCCAGCAGCTCACACGTGCTATCAGGACACAGGCGGCTCCCAACCCGCCCGGAGGAAGAGGGGGAGCATTCCGGTGTCGTGTCGTTCTGCCCGCGCCCCGCGCCCCTGGCTTCCACCCGCGCACTCGCCCAGCTCCGTCGCCCCACATCCGAGTGGCCCGCGAACCCCCTACCTCCTTACGCCCCGCGCAGCACGGAGCCCACCGAAAGAGCGAGGGGGTCGAACCCGCTAGGGCCCCCGCGCTCAAAGCAGGAAAACATGGGGCATCACCTGTCGCCGGAGTCCGCGGCGTTGGAGTCCGTGGGTGGTTTCCTGCCCAAGGCCGGGTTCGGAGGTTTGGAGAAAAGATTCTCAAAATCCATCCTCCAGCCAAGATCCCCGCAGCTGCAGGAGCGGAGAAATGAGAGAGCCGCGCAGGCCGGTGGCGCATGCGCCACCAGGGCCCTCGGAGCACGCGATTCTCGCTCCACTACGCACGCGCTCTACCATTCCCCAGGTTCCGCGCAGGCACCGCCCTAAGTCTGTGAATATTCTTGTTGTGCTTTTCGACCAGTTTTGTGAAAAATATTTACTGTAGTTTTTAGCTTTGGTCCTTAGGATTCTCCTTTGAATCGAAACCCCAGCAGCTACCATTGATTTGAGCACTTGCTTGATTGACAGTAGGCATGTTTCACATTCAACCTCCCTAATGCTCACAAGCTCGCAGGACTCCTACTACAGATGCTCTTCCTTGTGTTCTAGATGAGGATACAAGTGTGGACAGTCTACGTGACTTGGGGAGTGTTGTCATACAATAGGATTAAACACAACATTTAGGCAGAAATTTCATTAAAAAAATACCAAGAACTAATAAGGTTCAGAAGACAGCCTGTGTGGTTGGTAAGTTTTGAAAGGGGAATATTTGAGCTCAGTATTGATGCAATTTCGACAGGAAGAGATGAAGCTAGGACTGTTAAAAATGGCGGTCTGGAGAATGACCGTTTCCCTGTCCCTTTTATACAATAGAATCAAAGGAGAAATTATAAAGTGCACAAAATCCATTGGTGGTAGATTAGGGAGGCGGGACAAAGCTATGCACTCAAATCATTAGAACGGGATAAAAAGCAAAATGTAGAGATACCTAACTCTTTTACAGGGGTGGGTATAGGATAATTAACATTTACAATCAATGGGCAGCAAGATAATGAGGAGTTTCACTGTCTCCGTCTTTGGTGCCGGGGAGGTGTTGAAAAGAAAATTACTTTTACTTTTTAAAGACTTGTTATCCTAGATGCATAAGCACAATGGACAAGGCTCACTTAAGGCAAAGAGTGAAGATGCTAAGAAAGCTACACGCCTGGAACTTATGAATTGCCATCACCTGTCCAGTTGGCAACTGGTGATCAAACCCTCCTGGGTAGCTACTCAGTCACCCAGCCTGCCAAACCTGCCATGCGGCACCCCCTGAGCGTGGCTGGCCTACTGTAGCCCGTTTTCGTTCACATTAAGCAGGGACAAAGGAAATCAGGTATTTGGGAGGATCAACCATGAAGTCCACCATTTTAATAAAAACCAAGGAATTTTCCTCCAGGACTAAGCCAAGCTATTTCCCCAAAACGCGATCCTGAACACTAAACATTACAAAAAGAAAGGCTCACTACAACTTTTAACGAGAAAGTACATTCCTCCATCATTTAGCAAAGATTTTATTAAAAAACGAGTGAACAGTGCACGATCTTTACTACCCCACACCGGCGGACGGCTTCGGAAGCCGTTTGTTAGGGGTCTCCCTAAACTTCGGTTGGCAGCATCCCCGGGACTGCACCGAGACGCTGCGCACCGACTTGCCGGGGGTGGTAGCGTCCCAGACCCAAGCGCCTCCGCCGCCCGGACCGAGACGCCTCCTCCGCAACACCAAGGCTGGGGACCCGCCCCTGAAGATTACTGACGGCTGTATCACCCAATGGCTGACATGCTCGGGGCTTTGGGCGGGGCGCGCGGAGGGATATTGCGCCTCTATCTCCGACTGGAGTGCGGCGCCATCTTGTCGAGCGCAGTCTCGGGGCCGCCATGTCGGTGAGGAGCAGTCGCCACTGCGGCCATTGTCCAAACCCCCGCGTCGCGGCGCTCCCGCCCGCCCGCTCCCGAGCCTCGGCCGCCGGCGGCGAGTAGAGACTAGCGCGGCGGCGCCGGCCGCGGCCGCGCCCCGTGTTTGCAGAGAGCCCATCTCTCTGGCGTGGTTGTTAACAGACTGGAAAGTCTGTGTCTGTGTCGCTCACTAGTAACCGTGAGTTTTTACCGCCTCGTCACGGCGGGCGGCCGGGGTCCCGTGCCCCGCAGACCGGCCCGCAGCCCCGCCCCGCTCCTGACCAAACATGACAGACTGTGAACACGCAGGGCGCGGCAGGTCGGAACCTTGTCTGTCTGTGTGTCGGAGGAGAGGGCTGGGCGGGGGCGGGCGGGCCCTGCATGACCGAGGTGTCTCCGGGCCGCCGCGCTGGACGGCGCCCTGGGAGGCCGGGCTGGCGGCGGCGGGGAGGCTGGCCCCCTCCCGTCCTGTCCCGTCCCTGCCCACCGCGCGGGTCCTTCCGGCCTCCTGCCCCGCCCGCCGCAAGTGCGACCCCCGCCCCGGGCTGGGGCTGCGGGCCAGGGCCAGAGAGGACCTGCCACGAATTGGTAATACTGGTGTTGTCTTTGACCGGTACCCTAGCACATTCCGAAAAATAAACATGTTTGGGGTTTTTTTTTTGTTTGTTTTTTGTTTTGTTTTGTTTTTAGGAAATATTTAAGCAACCCGAAATGCCATGTACTTGAAATGGCAAATACCAAGTTTAAAATGTTAACACAAATACTTAGGCTCTGCCAACCTGAGTGTAGCACTTAGTGGAAGCTCCATGTATTATCTATCCCATCTAGCCCAATTTTGTAAATACGGTATATCACTTGAACATTTAACTGAGAATCTGATTTTTAAAATTATGTTATGCCTTTATAGGCATACTCTTGGTTCCATTTAATGGTTTGGGGTATTTACGGATTTTAAATAGCGTAACCAGCATATTAAAGTTTTGGTTAGGCTTTTAGCTTAACAGTCTTATGCGGGGGTTGGGGGGGGATGGTGAATGACGTTTTGGTCAACAATGGATCGACTGTACCACGGAGGTCCTATAGGATTACACAGTAATGGAGCTGAAAAATTCCTATTGGCCAGTGACGCGTAGCTGTTTTAACATTTTAGCACAAGACATTATTCACTTGTTTGTGGTGATGCTGGTGTAAACATACCCACAGCGCTGCCAATCCTGTAGAAGTATAGAACATAAAATTACAGTAGTAGGATGCACCATCTAGGTTTGTGTAAGTGCACCCTGATGCTCACACAATGATGAAATCACCTAACTACACGTTTCTCAGAATACATTCCCTTTGTTAAGCAGCACATTCCTGTACATTGATATCTTAATGGTTAAGAAAAAGGAAGAGCTTTCCTTAATATTGCTAGACTCCATTAAATGTGATTGAAAAACTCATTGCACCTAATTCTTATGTAGAATATTTTAAAATCTAGAACCTGGCAATTATTCCTTTGGGAATATAAGTAGTGAAAAGTACACATTGCACCCTAGACTATATAGAAATTCTACCTGTGGAGTAATGTGATCTGCTTTTGGTAAAGCATTCCAAACACTTAAAAAAAAAATCCAGAAGCAGAAATCTGGTAACCTTGAGAGGGATAAAAATTATATTTTGACAACTTTGGTACTGTTCTAATAAAAGTAGATCACCAGAAAGCATTAAACATGTCGTAGTTTTTAGAAAGTTAAAAAAAAAAACACACTTAAAATTATGAGTATATAAGCTTGTACTTGACATAGTCTTTTTCGTGTTTTTTTAAACATTATTTTGTTCCTAAAATGAGAAAATTGTTGGAATAGGTTAACTAATGTCTTGAGAAGTTTTCCACTGTGAATACCTGTGGACTAACCGATGATGAGATTTTGCCTATGGAGGCTAAAATTCATTTTTCTTTGTGTATGTGGAAGAAGAAAATCTGTTCTCAGTTCACAGAGCACTTCAGTATGTAGAATTATGTAGTCTGTGCAGTAGGAAAACCATGTCACCAAATTCAGGTGTCAACATAATTTTGATAGTAAGGAACTGCGATGCCAGACTTTAAAATTAATTTGAAATTTTGAAACACGGTTAGAAGTTAAAAAGAAATTTTTAAGGAATTCTTTGTAAGATATTAACAGCTTGGTAGGAATTTAAGTAGTAGTGATATTTCATCTATTGTTTTACACTAGGACTAAGAATATTTTCTACTGATTTCTAAAACAAAAACATTTGTTCCATCTTAATTTATTCAGTTGTTACGTGGCAGTATTATGAGGCAAAAAGAGATGGTTTATTTTTTTCATGTATTTTTTGGGGGGGGTCTACCTATATGAAAAACAAAACAAGTGCATCAAAAAACAAAGTGAACTGGGAGTCAAGAGAAACGGCTCTAGCTCTACTTAGCTTTATGAACTTGAGTGGGCCTAGTTTCTTAACTGATCTGAGGTTTCTACAAGAATTTGTCAAGTTCTACAAGATCTGGTTCTCAAACATCTCTGGGGAGTGTTTTAAAAGGTGTTGGTGTCATTGCCATGTCTGAGTCTCAGCCTGAGTTTTGAGGTCTTCAGAAGCTCAGATTATTCTATTAACTGCTAATTTGAAAACTACTATAGTAGATAACTGTTTTCCAAACTTAATCATTGAATCCCTTTGAGGAATCAGAATCTCTAGAGGAGAATGTTGGTAGTCTGTATTTTTAATAAACTCCCCTGGTAATTCTTAAGAAATTTGGAAAAAAATTCACTAGTCTGTGGAATCCCAAAATATTCTTCCTTCTACATTTTAGTTATTTTATACTGTAATAAAAGTTTCTGTGAATTAGGTGGTGAAGATATATGAATTCTGGTATTTGAAGCTAGACATTGTCTCAAGGGTATTCTTTTTTTGATGTTCCTGAAAATTAAGGTATATTGTGAGTGAAGGAAAAAAGGTAAATGTATGATTTTTATTTACAACTGCTTTGATTATACAAATTAAAATACTACTATTTCAGTTTACCTGTGAATGAGATTCTAAATGTAAATGAATAGTCACATAACACATTTTTTCTCTTTAAAAAATGTTTCTGTGCACGTTTTATATGGTGAATATTTTGCGTAGGATTTGTTTGCCAAATAAGTTAGCTTTTTAAAAAATTACCCATTTGGTGTCCTTTCCTCTAAATATCTTCATGCCTGGAGTGAAAACACTGTATTTTTATAAAGTGTTATTAATACAAAAATACTTAACCAATAAACGTGACTATGTAGAATGTTAGTGGAGGACTTCTGTCTAGGTCTTTAGAAATAAATAATAGAGGTTGGCGAAAATCAAAGGAGGATAAAATTCTTGTTTCTTTT